GAATGAATGAATGAATGAATGAATGAATGAATGAATGATGAATAGATGGATGTCCATTTATACTAAACATCATCATTCTTCCTCATGTACACATAAACACAAACATACAGACATACGTTTGTTTGCGTCATTCGTCTTCATATACAAGTAAAGAAATGAATGAGTTAACGTGAACGTGTTTTTGACACATGGTAAATAGTTACGAATGTATCATTCATTTATTCATTCATACAATATATGAAGAAAAAAATAGTTGATTTAGTGAAAGCAATTGATAATGAATGATTAAACGTGATTTTTCATTGAAATTAAATTCATTCTCCATTAATTATTATCATTTTTTTCACTGATATTTTTTTCTAACTGATATCAGCTTAAGAGTATTTCCCTATTCTTTCAAATTTATTTCACTACATCATGCCACTCATCACTCACCAGTTACATAAATGAAACATACCTCACAGGACAGGTGTTATTTCAAAAACGTCACCAGGCAAAATTGATAGCAAAAGACGAAACATTTAAAAATAATCTCACTCAAAACAACACGAACACAGCAGGGGTGATAATATGGGTAGGACAGAGTGGAACAGCAACCATTTAAATGGAAACCTATATAACCTAAGGTAAGATAGCAATAATAAATTGTTATTTCAATTCGTAGTAATATGAACAACGGAGTTTTTTTTTTCACTCTCTCTCTCTCTCTTCCTCTCTCTTACCCTACAATCGTATGTTTTCGTGCAACTATTCTATCTCTTATATCAAAAATAAAAAATTAATCAGCAATTGGCTCGTATAACAGTTTAAAATTAACAACACGAAAAGAAAAAAAAAATCTGGGAGAAAGTAAATGCAAAAAAAGAAAAGGGAAACAACCGCACTCCAATCTTTTTTTTTCTTTGAACTAATATTAATGACAAAAAAGAGACAAGTAATATAGCAGGTGGTTTCTTAAGAAAGAAAAGAATGACAACAACATTCAGATAATAAAGAGGACGAGGAAAAAAAAGGATAAAGTTAGGATATAAAGGTGTATTGCGGGCCAGAGCAAATAGCACCAGAAACTCACACCTTCTCAATAGACCGTATCAAACCACCTGTTATCATCTATGTATTTATGCATATTCATCATATCTGCTTCTAAAACAGTTATACGATAACTATACTTTAACCCAACTAAAAAGCAAATATCATTATCATCGTTCCATTTTAAAAGTAGAAAGTTTAAACCTATATCTTTTTGTCTTGCAATATTATCATCCTATTTTAATGCATGCAAATGCTCTACAAAAAAAAAAAAAAAACGTTTATGGAACATTTGTATGCATTAAAATTGGAAATTAAGATTTCTTAAAATAATGAAGATGAAAAGATTTGTCCAGTTCTTTATTTTAATAATAATAGAAATCATTTTATTGTACGTAACGCCATGCTAATTATAAGTCTTTTCACATCATTCCATCTATCATATCATAATCATGTAATAGTAAACGGTAAATTTTACAAACAGTTCAAGCAAATGTTCAACCTAATTTCACTTTAGGTTACAACTTCTTTCACATTCTCACAGAAACATCGACTTCAATTAGTTCGAGACATACTCATCTTTATCATCACTTAAATACGCTATCATACGCAGCAATTCATCTTTTCCTATGGTTCAAGCATCATACACACCTTCATCCTTGTTTTTTAATGCGGTAATTTTAATATTCCTTTTCATACACGTCGTCGTACTTATCATGCAGCGTACTCTCGCAATAGCTTTTTAATGCCTTCCCCACTTCCGACCTCATGTCATTACTCATTCACTGATCGAAAAATCCCCATCATCTTAATCTAACACTTTCTGACTGATGACTCATCATTGTTAATTTATTATTTTACATTCCAATTTTTGCACCTCATTATTAACCAATGCATGTGTGATACAAAAATTATAGAATCTACTTTTCAATAACACTATGTTCACAAATTTTGTCTTCAAAATTGCCAACGATTATTCAAATCGTAGAATCATAAAAAATTAGGCACAACTTATTAATGCTCTTCAATATCATCATATATGTATGAAATTTTTCCTCTTGTGTTTAAATCATATTTTCATTATTTGCATAATATTTCTTCATGACCCTAAAATGTTAAGCTTATTTAAAAGTTATTAGTGCTTCATGCTGAATCATTCAAAGGCAAATATGCTTTTGCAAAAATGAAAATGGCAAAATTTAATGATGCATAGAAACGAAAAATCATTGAAAATATTTTTTATCAAACACACACATAACCATATACAGGTGCACAAACACATACGTCCACACGTCCTATTTATTTCATTATATTTCATTACGTTGCGAGCAATTAAAAAAGCAACAATTTTTTTTTTCTTCCACATACTCATTGTCGTACATACTTGAAAATATTTTTTTTTTCCTAGCAATATCATTCCATTTCCTATTATCTGCCCATCACATTTCTGTTCAGAATATTTTATATTTCTTGCCATTCTATTATTCTACTTTAAATTTCGATTATTAAATTCTGAACTATTCATAGTACAATGTAAAAAATATGATATAATACTTTCATTAAGATTCTTGGAAATTTCAAAGAAAAAATGAAAGAAAAGTAAAAAAAAAAAATCTATGAAATTGGCTGAGATAAAGTACTGCTGCGACTATTTGATCATAATATATTGAAATGAATATGTAATTAGATGCTGAACTTAGTTTCTATTGATTCGTTTTTTTGCAATAGCTTTCTTCTTTATTAAAAATCTTATCCAGGAAAATGATGAAAGATCTCTCTGCACTATACAGGATACGAAATGTAGTGGGCTTGGCTTAACTTTTCGAACTCTTTCAACCATTTAGTACTTACTATCAACGTTATAATTACTGATTTTAAATTCTAAATTAGAAACTACAAATTACGAGACTCATTTACTCCATTTTTAAGAAAAATTGCTTCATCACTAAAAAGAAGAATAATTTCGTCTAAAATATGAGAAAGAAATCTCTATGGATCATGTGCTTCATCGATAGCCTTGGCAAATGGTTTAAAAAACTGTTTAAATGACCAGTTTCTGAAGTTATTATGTTTAGTTATGCCTACAAAATTCAACGAGTTCTGCTATTTTAATATTAGCTGCTATGCTAAGCATTAGTATTCTATATTTTCGAATTCGAAATAGCTTGCTCACTTTCACGTGACATAAGTTTCCGAATACGCATGCTTTTATTCATTACCTATTAAGAACTATCAGTGGCTCTAATTAAAAACTTTCCGACATTTAATCCCATTCTGAGTTTCTATCCACAAAGAAATTTACTTGGAAATCTTACTTCTCAGAATGTATTTTCGGAAAAAAAATGTATTTCAGTCAAATAAATAATCGGATCATTCTGTACTGATAATGCAGTTCTTTGGTAATTCAGCAATCAACATAAAGTATGCGCAGGTACAAATGTGAATTAACCTCAGAGGAGATGGAAGTTTCTGTATGTTCCATTTGTTGTCCACCAGATAATTCATCACCCAGTAGTTCATCTTCAGCGAAATCAAGATCGATTGAATCTGATTATTACATTTGTATCAGTAAAACGGAGAAATAAATATCTATTCCAGCATCAAAAAAAAATTTACAAACTATATGGGAAATTAATAGTTGTTATAAATGCCATTTTAGGTTCACATAAGAATTCCTTCCACTTTCCTTCAAAAGACAGCAAATTTGATAAAGCTTGAGAAATCAATAAAATTCTACTTTATACAAAAGAACGAATGCATATAGTCCAAAAAAAAAAAAAATGAAAACGTTTCAAGAGAATACCTTCAATTGAAGCCATAATCAAAAATAAATTTAGCTGCTTTTTTCAATTCAATGATGTCATGAAAACCTGTAAACGTCGAATATAATTTCAAATCTCATTAAGAACTTAATGTCTACAGAAGAAAACGAAGCAATCCTGTTTCCAGAGATCTACTACCCAAAACATCCATCGCAATGTCCAAGGAGAATAACTTATTCCTGAATAACTCAAGCACCGATATGAGCCGTTCTTATTCTCTGTTGAACTTTACATTGATTGCTATTCCTATGCTTTCGATTTCGCTTAGCAAAGTGCACAATAGCCAGTAAGCAAAGTTAAGTGATTAAACTAACAAATCAATATAGTTTGTCACTGTGAATTGTAATGGAATCATTTGAATAGTTAAACATTTCACACATAGAGGCAAGTAATAGCTTTCTGATTAGGTTATCAACTTTATGCAACAGTTGATTCAAATGGTTGCACATACTATTCGACCGATCTATACTATTTCGTTAGCATTCCATTTTAATAATGCCCATATTTCAAATAAAATTTTTGAAGTATTACGACAATAACCAATATTTGAGAACCAGACATTAACTGATATGAAAGGATACCAAAATACTGATGAACTTTATTCATATACATACATTATATATATATAATAAGCATTATGAAAGGATAGCACTATTAAAAAGTCATGTTATAGCACATAGTTAAATACTATAGAATCAGTATAAAACTACAAACTACACGGTTCCAAATAGCAGCTTTTTGCAGCATTTTTTCAAAACTTATAATTTCTGTTATCTTACAAGGCCTTAATTACATTTAATCGGAACACAGTTTCGATTTGTGAAATATTAGAAAACACGGAAAATCACAGATATGAACTTATCAGTATAATCTAGAAAATTTGTATTTTTTGTAATGTGTTTTATATGGATCATCATCGCCAATACTTCAGGTCACCGGTACCGATATTCACAATCATCACTGGTACTAATATAAGTTTGATGCACAACTAAAGATGCACACTTATTTGACACAAAGGATAATTTGAAGCATGACTCACGCCAAAGGGTCAATAAAAACTATTGTAAAAAGATTTGTAAGCAAATTTCAGATGAAAGGTAATTTGATCAACTACTTATTAAGAATAAACTTGATCTCTAAAATATAATTCATCAACTCTCACAAAAATTACTCACAATAGCATCTGATAAATAAGGATAGAACATAATTCAGTTTGTCTGATGTAGGAAGAAATGTAGGAGAAAAGTTTCAGCTGATAATAGAAGAATGATAAAAGCCAAAGCAAATAAGATCAAAAAAGGCTACCAATCAATCAAGAATAGAGAAACAGGAATTAATTTTTTCAATTAAGAATAAAGAAACAGAAGTTTATTTTTCAAGTCGTCTTAAAAAGTTTTCTCTTTTTCTGCGGATTTCTTCACTTTGAGGAATCTGGGAAGTATTTTGTTCGCTTTTCTTATTGCCTGCCAATGATTTATTATTTTCAGTTATATTTGTTTCAGATGACTCCATTCCATGTTGCTCCCGAAAACTCTCCAAGCTCATTTGAATGGCTTTTTGAAGCTGTCTTTCTTGCAACTCATCATCGCTTTCAGCCAAACTGTTCTTATTCTGTACATCTACCAAATTGTTACTCATTGTTTCCTGTAAAATATTTAGGATCGTGTAACAAAAACTGATTTATCGGGAATCCGTCATAGAAAACAGAATTTTCAACTCAATGTTTGCATAAACAGACTGAAACTGATAAAAGTGAATTCAAGGTACTCCAAGTTACTTTTTTTTTCATTGTTTGACAACTGAGTTTGATTGCAAGCCGTAAATCTTCATCATCTCTGGTCTTTAGAAAAAATACGAAAAATACAAATAAATGATAATATTAATCAAGTTAAAAAATTTCAATCTCTTTATCCCTCTGAATTATTGAAAAAGAGCAATTGCTTAAGCAGAAGGTAACAATATAGTTTCCAAAAATATTAAATATTAAGAACAATAAAATGCATGTTGGTGATACATGATAGAACGAAATTTATAAAAATAAACTGTAAAAAGCAGTTTTGTAACTTAAAAGATAATTTATAGTGTGCTAAGTTTTTATATTTCGAAAAAATTAAGAACAAATCTAGACTGTATACCTGCTCAATAGATGCTGTTTCAGTCTTTGCAATACCAGAATTTTTTGAGTGATTATCAATAAATAAATCATTCATGCCTGCTAACGCTGGATCAACAGGAAATTGAGAAAGTTGTTCATCTGCAGTGCACAGCGGTAAGACCCCTTCCACAACAAATATCGAATAACCTATAAATTTGATAAAATTCCACAACGATATTTCCATAATTAAAATTTCAATATGCATCGACTACACTCCCACATCTCTGGACTGTTTTTAACTCTAACATGGAACAAAAGTATGATACAAAACGTATTAAACTTTATTTTAAATGAGGTGAAGTCGTAATATCATATTTTTTCCAGAAATTAAAATTTGACCATTAAGGTAACTCAGTTAATTAGATATGATCTTTTTATTTACCGTCATTGATTAGCTGAGCAAAGAAGAGACTGAGATAAGTGTCAGAAATAAGTTTTGGTGTTGGAAGCAACGAATTCAATGTGAACCATTGGAAGCCCAGACGACGAACAGCAAACCAGTGCTCATTCAAATTGCATATGTAAGCTTGACCTAATCTGCAAGTAAAACATTTCGCTAAAAATTTTAAATAAATTGATGAAAAAAGCAAACTGTAATTAGCAAAATAAACTAAATCAATATTCTAGAATGTGGATATAAATTTTAAAGAAGCCAAGCAGTTATTTCACAAGGAAACAAATGGAATCAAACAAAGACTGACACAGATAATAGAATCCCCTCAATTTATTCCAACCCTTCAATTTCGAAGTATGCCGGCGAGATATTTACGAAACTAAGGAAATGCTGGGCAAAGGAAAATCTCATCCATCAAATCAATCTTTACGTTGGATCATCACGATATGCTGCAGCACGAGGATTACTGAGCGGGATAAGTTCCAGGTTGAAAACTTTAAGCGCTTCCGTAATAACCTAAAATTATTACAGAAACCCAATTCAAGAAATAACGAATAGAAAAAGCATGACACAAATGAGATTTTGCTTTAAGTAATCATTTTTATCAGTTGTAAAGACGATGCTTTTCAGAGTTATTCTCTATGTTAAACTTTCAGTGTTCAACTTATGGAGCACAGTATGAGAGGATGGGTGAACTCCGGAGATGATGATATCTGTGCCAGTAATAATTACAAAATCATTGTTCAGTTCGATTTTCCTTTCTGTAAGATTGTTTGGAGTCGGTCTAAATCCAAAAAAAAAAAAGAAAAGTTGAGACCTTGAAGGGAACGGAATTTACTTACTTGCAGCGAGAAGAAACCCGAATCATCGACATTCTGACTCATTACATCCTGCTCATTCAGTACCTTTCCTTCTCGACTGTCAATTTCTGAAGCGATTTCGGCTAAATCGACAGCTGTAAAATAGGAGCCTTGGAGCAGCATGTTCACGGCATGTTGAGCGCAAAGTGATGCTTCCTGCTATAAGAAAATACGTGATTATCATATTAAATGATGTACAACAAACATACTTATAATGTGTATATGTACTTTACTTACTACAATTTCATCAGCAATTCCAAGTGTTTTAACGAATAAGCAAAAAACAAGCTAAACTGAAATGGTTAATTCAAACATTGAATTCATTCTAATTAAAATTCAGTCAGCGACTATAAATTATACAGACTAAACCGGGAAACAAATCGAGAAATCAAAAAGCAAACCTTTTCGAAATGAATTGAATCCATTAAAAATGATTTAAGAAAAAATCAGAAAACAGAAAACAGTACGACGTTTCTTTGCGAACAGTCAACCTTCAAATATTACAGAATTTGCTCAAAAACTAAACAAAAAAAAAACGGAAGTGAATATTCCGGGAATTACAGAAGCACCCCAAATCATTTGCTAACGCGGGAGGAAAAATCCGCGGTGCCATCATCATCTCCACCTCCTTAACATATCAGAGAACTTCAGAACATTTTCAATTGCCTATTTCTCTTCACTTTTTAAAATACAAGCAAGTTTTTCACTTTTTTTTTTCCTTTAAAAAAAATGGTAATATGAAGCCTTCCGAACGGTTAAAGACTGATTTGCTATTTTGATTAAAAGTGGGTGACAATCAGAGGCGATGAGACAGCTTGAATTAATCGAACTGAAAAGTAATGGATTGAATCGGAATACAGTTATTGTTAAGATTTCGAATCACCTCACATGATAGCTTAACTTTGAAATTCATGTCATTGTAATTCGATCAGCATTAAAGTTAATCCTTTTCTAAAATCACTTCAAACCTACTTGGCTGCTTGCTTTTTTAATTGATTTGAAAAAAAAAAATAATTTAAAAAGAATTCAGGTTGAGCCTATTGGTTTCGATTGGTGCAGAAATGTGAAAAATGGAAATATAATGAATTGTTCGTTGTTACTTTCTCCAAGTAATTCTGTAATATTACAAATTATGGTTTAGAATTTCAAAAATGTTAAACTTTGATTTAGCATTGAAGTTTATACACTTTGAAGCTGTTGTTGTTGTTGTTGTTGTTGTTGTTGTTGAATTGTTCAAGTTTTTGTGTAGGATTAATCGTTAGCAAGTAAATTTCAACATTTATTGCTGCTAAATTTTCAACTACAACAAGAACTAGAATAAGCAATAAAAAGTTTTAATCCTTTTAAACTAAATTGATTTTTTTTTTGTCAAAAAATTTAAATTTTCTAACAAAAATCAATTTGGTGCTTTATGCAAATTGTTGCATTAAATTACATTTTATGTAGATTAAAATTTATAAAAGGACAATATGTAAGGTTCATTGAGAAGTAAAAATCATTCATTTACTATTGCTATCATTTGTAATAAAGTTTACGATAGCCAAATTATATGCTTAAGATGAAATCAAACGAAGAGAGTGGAAAAAAACACTCGAACAATCAAAATGTCGAAGAAAATAGGACGAGGTCAGTGATATCCTTTCAAACAAGAAGTAATTTATAGATTTTTCAAAAAGGTTAGCTTTCAAACTAAGTTAACTTAGGGAAAGCAATAGCAATATTTGCAAGTCAAATTATATTTTCGGATTCGTGCAAAGAGCTCAATTCAGGCCAGAAGAGGACAGCAAGAATAGGTTAATTCTGTAGCATTATTACTTTCTTGTAATATCAGGAATAGAAAAAAAAAACGAATGTTTGATGGAGATGGGATAGGATAAAAGTCACTAAATGCAAATGGCGTGAAATAACGCCGTAGGATAATTAAGATTTGCATGCGAGCTATTTATTTCGAACAATTTTTAATATTATTGAAAAAAAAAAGGATTGTTAACTG